ATTCTTCGTATATATTAATATATGTAGATAAAACTATAATATATACTCATATTCATCTTCTTGCTTGTTTTGAGAGAAAAATATGCTTTTCTTAGAATAAACAAATACATTTCCTCACAAACTTTATTGCATGAGTTATTTTCATAAGAAAAATCAAAACTAATTTTTTTTTTTTTTTTTGGTTTTTTTTGTCAGAAATTACCTAATAAAACTCATATACTACAAGAAATAGCTCGAATTTCGACGGACTGCTTTCGACGGACACGAAAATCCGTCGAAATTTACGAATTTTCCGATGGATTTAAATTTCGTCAAAAATCCATCGGAAAATTTCGACGGATTTTAAATCCATCGGAAAATTCGTAAATTCCGACGAATTTTTTCCGTCGGAACTTTTCGACGGATTTTTTCCGTCGGAATTCCGATTTTCAGACGAAATTAAATTCCGTCGGAAACTATTAAAAAAAAATTTAAACCCTAAATTTTACTCCAAGCCGCCACTTTCCTTTATTTCCCCCTCTTTCTTCTTCTCTTCCCTTTCTCTCTCCTCTTCTCAGTTCTCACTCCTCTCCTCTCCTCTTTTCTTCTCCACCCTTTCTCTCTCCTCTTCTCAATTCTCACTCTCTCTCATTTCCTCTTCTCTTCTCCGCCCTTTCTCTCTCCTCTTCGATCTCTTCTCCGCTTTCACTCTCCTCTCCTCTTTTCCTCTTTCTTGTCTTTGTTCTCCTCCCCACCAGCCCGCATCACCATAAACGAACGCCATATTCGAGCATTGTTCTATGCTCGCTTCAAAAGGAGCGAATTGAAACATCAGAGTAGCTAAAGGAAGGTTCATTTCGAACACCATCAACTAAAGATTTTTCATGTTAAATTTGACCATGAAAACTCTAGATCTAGAGTTTTCATGGTCGAATTTGACCTTTAAAACCCAAATTCGAGATTTTTATGGTGGTATGTGAGGTATGTCCTCTTATTCTTTTTTTTTTTTAATTTGGTTTTTTTTTCTTTTTTTTTTTATGGTGGTGGTGGGTAGTTTTGGGTCGATCTAGGGTTTGGGTGGAAGGGATATGAGAGGTGGTGAAATAAGGTGGATTGTGAGTCGTTGTGGGTTGTGGTGGGTGCGGATCTGGGTTAGGGGTTTCGGTGGTGGTAGGTTGTGGGTCTTTGTGGGTTAGGGATTTCGGTGGTAGTGGGTTGTGGCTCGTTGTGGGTTAGGGGTTTCGGTGGTGGGTTGTAGTGGTGGTGGGTTGAGGGTAGTTGTGGGTTAGGGGGGTTTTGTGGGTGGATCTGGGTTGTGGGGATTTCGGTGGTGAATGTAGATGGTGGTTTAGGAGGGGAGGGGGTATGGGTTAGGGGTCGGGCTGGTTTTTTTTTTTTGTTTTTTAATCGACTTTTCCGTCGGAACTTTCCGGCGGATAACTGTCCATAAAAAATTTTCGATGGACTTTCCGGCCGGGAGAAATCTCATCCGACGCCTTAAATTCCATCAGGAATTCTGTCGGAAAACGGTTTCCGTCGGAATATGTCGTTTTTCCTACAAAAGGGTTTCCGACAACCGATTTCGACGGAAAACGAGGTCTTTCCGACGGAATTTTTCCGTCGGAATTTAGCTGTTTTCTAGTAGTGATTTTTTGTGAGAAACTAGCTAATAAAAAAAATGTTGTAAAAAACCTAGCTACCTAATAAAAGGTAAAATGTCGTAAGAAACTACTTAATGAAAGGTAAAATGTTGTAAAATACTACCCCTACCGGATTTCCACCGTTGAGTCGTTGACCCACCTCAAAACAACCCCGAAACCACCTCTTTCATCCCCAAAACCGATACAACATGCTTGAAATTGCCTCCATCACACCAAAACCACCCTCCAAAACAACCATCTCTGACCCTAAAAACCACCATCTCGAAGTACGAAACTACCCTCACCAAATCAAAATATCCTCCAACCACCCTTAAAATAACCTTACCACCTTGAAAACAACCCCGCCACGGCAGATTCTGGGTGTTTTGAGGTAGGTCAATGTCGTAAAATTAGATCAACGGTGGAAATTTGGCCAAAGGTAGTGTCTTACAACATTTTACCTTTTATTAGTTAGTTTCTTACAATATTATTTTATTAGGTAGTTTCTCACAAAATTTAGGTTTTATTAGGTAGTTTCTGACAAAAAAAAAATCCTTTTTTTAATTGTATCCTAATATGATAGTTTTATCGTGTAACTTGTTACAAATAGAGTCGATAAATTACTATTAGGAAAGTGTTTATCACGTTCCTGCTTGAAGAATTTTCTATCTATTTGTAATTTTGTAAACTAAATTCCTCCTAAATAAACTTGTTTTTTTACCCAGAATTTTGAAAATGTCTATGAACTACTATATAACCTAAAATTACAAATTTTACACTGTAATATACATTATCCTTATTCCTTATACAACATTTGATTTCATAAAGCAATTATGATTAGTTTGATAACTAGTCATAAATTACGAAATGGTATTGATTTTATGTATAAATTGTATAGGAAGTCCTAACTAGTTCATCGCTATATATATGAAAACATGTATTTTTCTTCATACATAGATAACTTGCCTTACTCCCTTCAAAAAAAAAAAAAAAAAAAAACGATAACTTGCCTTATTTTCTTGGTATTGAATATTTGAATTTATGCCTCACGTTAATGATTTGTTCTTGTCAAAAGAAATATATACGAAGTAACTCACATATTTAGTTGTGGATGGTGTATATATGTATGTTAACATTTTGCAACATCTCAAGCAACATAAAATATTATTACGGACTACTAAATAATAAGGAAACTTTATCTTATGACTTATGCATAGTAGTCTAGTACAATGCACATGTTTTTTGACATCATCATACTAACAATTCAACACTAAACTAATTGTACATGTACATGCAAATGAAATGATTAAACTTGTTTTGGTTTGATTAGAGTTCATTTGTATGGTCCGAATAATGGACAATTTCACATTTTCACAAGATGCATAAGATAAAGAACTTATTCATATTCCCTTTTTTCTAGAAGTAAATTTGAATTAAGTTTCAATAATGTTTACAATATAAAAATGAGTGATCAATATTTTGCCAAATAAGCATCTGAATCATTTTCACTAGCGAATTGATTTAGATGGGTAGTTAAGAGTTATTAAAACCCTTTTTTTTTTCCTGTAAATTCTATAGTCTAAATTTGTGATCTTGTGTGAGACATTTGTGAATGAGTTGTAGGCTCTTCTAGCTCGTGAATGCCATGACTCTTACTTTTTGTTTCATTGTGAACACTACTACGTAATTTTGTTTCGCACACGTCAATTATGGAATTTTAGTTGACGTGATGTCATGTGATTTTGTTTTTTATTTTTTATTTTTTTTAGTGTATTAATATTCGCAAAGGGTAGAGTGGTAGACGAAATTTGGCCTCAAACATTATTATTGTTCACCTCCCTTACTTTTACCTAATAATGAAGTTAGCTGACATCCTTTATGTTGAATATTTTACTACATAAGAGAAGGTATAATTAAATACATACTTATCAAATGTTACCTTATTAAATTTTTAATTGAAGCTAGAACTAGCTAAGTTGCTTTTCCAAATTAGATTTCTAGGAGGACAATCTGCCTTTAACCAATTTATTTACTTAGGTTTTTGAAGATTTTTGTGTAATTAATCTAATTATTGATACCTTTGTACTTAACAAAATGAAATTTGTTAGACTGTCTTCAGTAGTACATACAAAGAAAATACTTCTTGTTGAAATAATTTTATTTTAGATTAGATATTAAAGGATGAACTATTCTTCAAATTTCATTGAAATAAGTCAATTAATTAAACTATTCTTCAAATTTCATTGATCAACTATAAAATAAGTCAATTAAAACATTTTTATTAAAGAAAAGTCAATTAAAACATTTCGTCAAGAGTTGGCTGAACTTGGAGCATCTATGAAGGTGTGGAAACAAGTCGGTCATTTACAAAATCGTGATCACAAAGCGGGTTACCCACCAATTGCACCAAGCTTATTCGGTTCAATAATTAGAATATTAATATTGTATTTGTAATCGTTATTAGCTTTTTATTTATTAGTTATATTAAAAGTTAAAGTCAGCCTAATTATTAAAGCGATACCTTTAACTTCTAGTGATGTAGATTAAAGAAATTAACTAATTGCACTATAAAGCGGAATGAGTAGTGACTAGTCAGTAAACTATAGTAATATTGAATTCAGAAGATATGTTAAAAACTAAAAAGATAATAGGAGATTTATTGAATTATATGAAAACAAGTACATATAAATATATAATAGGAGAAAATGATGTTACTACTACAGAATCTTAATTCTCAAGTCGTTTGATGCTTGACGTTTCATGTACATATGCCATGGTGCACGCTACTAACAAAATTGATGATTTATTTCGATATTGATTTAGGAAAAAGGGATGTATATTGGAAATTTTCATTTTCGGGGTTTAAAAGAATGATTTCACGAGATAGCCTTTACGAAATTAAAAAATACAAGTACCTTTTACATTCAATTTTGAGCATTGTAGACCCGTTGGAATAGTGCGATCATATTCAAATACTATGTAGATTTTTTATATATCAATGATTATAAATCATTTGTTCTTAATTTATAATGTTGATAATTTGTTCATCTTTAATAATACTCGTATACTTTTGGCATAAAACTTTATAAATAAAAATTCTATGTCGGCATAAAACACCAAAGCATATAAATGTAACCCAATGTTGACAAGAGTAAAAGCATTTTATTTAACAAACGTTACAAACTCATATTATTCTGTACAAAAATCTGGGTTGCTATATACCTTCCCAAATCCAAAAGCTCCTAATATCTTCTGTCAGACTTACTGGCTTTGCTTCAAGATCTTGCTACTAGTTCATATGCAGTGCAACATTAGTAGTACATACAGTTATAAATATACATGTAAATTATGTAATCCAACAGTTTAAACAAAAAACAGATACCACAAAAGAACTCAAAATTTAGCATAGGTCTCGATTTTTCGCAGTTTAATGAAGAAATTAACCATATAAATATATACAGAAGGGGTATATATATTAAACATAATACTAATATTATGTAACCTTAGTCTTAATCATTTGGTAAGACTTCATTGGTTCACTCCATATACTACTACTTAATCAGATTTTCAAATTCTTTAAATTAAATTCGTAACATGAATTTAAAAGCAAGACGATTTTGGCACCACTAAATTAACTGATCCAGTTTCGGTTTCAATTTCAATTCTTGTGCCAGGATTATAAACAAGGTCGGAAATCTTGGGCCGTAACTTCTCCTTCCAAAATTCATGACTAGGCCCCACATCTTTTTCTCTCTTCCTAACTTGTACAACAACAAAATCCTCCGTTAGCCTATGAACTTCCACCACCACACCAAAATCCCCATTTTGCCCCTCGACTCTAACCCCCATCCCACACCGCATCCTCTCCACCTCCACCTCTTCAATCCCACGCGCCGCCTCTTCCACCCTCTCCACCACCGCCTCCGCCGCCTCTTTTGATAAAAACGTCTCCCAACAATTCTCCTTATCCCGCTCACCCTTCATAAACAACCCGGATAAATTAAACCCGGGCGAAAACGATATCAAATCAAATGCATTCAAAAATCTCGAGTTTTCCTTCTCTTCATCAAACCCACCACAACTCTCCCTCTCCACTTCCTCCTCTTTCTCGTCATCATCAAAATAAAACGACGCTAAATCAACCTTGTTGTTTTTTTCGTCGCCTTTCTTAAACCAAGGATCATCAATAATCTGTTGGATTGAATATCGATTTTCTGGATTAACATCCAAAACATGAGATAACAAATTTTTTAACTCGGGTGACATAAATCTCGGACACCGAAATTCACCGCGGTAAATTTTCCGATACAAATTCATCAAATTCGTATCATTAAACGGTAAATACCCCGCAGTTAAAACAAATAGTATGATTCCACACGACCATATATCGACCTTCGCGCCGTCGTACCCTTTTTTCGCGAGAATTTCGGGTGCGACATATGCAGGAGTTCCACACATTGTGTGTAACATCTCGTCTGGTCGGGTCTGATCTTTTACTGTGCTGAGCCCAAAATCAGTAATTTTTAAATCCCACTTGTCGTCTAATAAAAGATTTTCGGGCTTCAGATCGCGGTGGTATACACCGCGAGAATGACAAAACCCGACAGCGGAGATCAATTGGTGGAAATACCGCCGGCTGAGATCTTCGCTGAATCGGCCTTTCGAGACCTTCGCGAAGAGCTCACCGCCCTTTGCGAAGTCCATGATGAAGTAAATTTTTGATTTGGTGGCGAGGACCTCGTGGAGGCGGATGATGTGGGGGTGGCGCAATCTGCGCATGATAGACACTTCTCGTTTCACGTGTGCCGTGAGGTTACCCTTGTAAATTTTTTGTTTACTAACAGCTTTCACAGCCACGCTTTTTCCATTGCGTAGGTCTCGGCCGTGGTAGACTTTAGCGAAGCCGCCTCGGCCGAGGAGTCTCCCCAACTCGTATTTGCCAAACAAGACGGGTTTTTGTTCGGCTGCGGTGGCCGCGGTGGAGGAAAGAGTTTCATTGTTATTAATCTCCGGCATGGTTTCCAGAGATCCGGTGAGAATTGGGATTTTTGAGATTGGAATTCCAGTCTTCTGACTGGGTTTATAATAATTTATCGGTAATGATATATGCAGCCCTTAAGACGGGTTTATGAATTTGGGAGGGAGTAAGATTTACTTTGAAGGAATTGAGATTAGTTTTTTGTTTTTCAGGAGTTTTTAGGGAGGAGAGAGAAAGGATGTTTTTTTTTTTGGGTTGAAAAGTGATAAGCGAATCACAAGTGTGGGAGTAGAAGGAGCTATTTATACAAAATGGGCAAGGGAGGAAGTGTAAAGAGCGTGACATCAGTTGGGAACCCTTTTTTTTTTCAATAAATATATTTTTTTATATATATTTTGAAGAAAAATTTATCACTTTTTTAATTTTACTATGCTTATGTTTTTGAGTGTGAAAATTTTATTTCTAATTTGATTAATTAAAAATATAATGGTTAATTATCAATATCCAATATAAATAATCTGGACAATTATAGGACACAGCAAATGATAAATTTTTTATGGTTAATTATCAATATCCGATATCCTTTGGGGAAAAAAAATCTATATTTACTATAGGCTTATTTTGATAATCCGATATAATAGCTGTTTAGTTAGTCGTTAATGGTTGAATAGTTAAGATATCTTAAAGATAATTTATTATTCCGTATTTTGTGTATGATTTTCCACAAAATATTACCTCCGTCACCATATGATCAATACCTGCAATAGCCTCATCAAAACTAGAAGGCAATGAAGATGAAAAATTATAATTTTTTGGTGAGTTTTTGTCATGGCCAAAACTCAAAATCTATTTACTCATGTTTCTGATCATATCACCATTGTTGACATTTTTATCTAAAACGAAATAATCACCATACACCTAAGGGTTAAATTATTGAGAACTTCGTTATTTATTTAATTTTTTACGTAATTGGACCCATTTTAAAAAGTCAAGCTAAGGATAGAAAAGCTGGTCATACTTCGTATTTGGTAATTAATTGCATTGGTGATATGATGGTGATATGGTGTATCATGTGAGATTTTGTTTGATTTATTTCATAATATAGTTTCTGTTTAATATTTGTAAATTCTTAGTCCTTCTGTCTTTAAAAGTTCACCCGGTTTAAATAATTTTACAAAAAAGTACAAATGGTCAATTATGTATTTTAGAGATTTTATATATATTGAACAATTATTTTTCAATTTTAAGCCATAAATTTAAATTTTCCTAATAAAAAAAGTCTTTAATTTAAATTTTCTAATCCTCAAATTCTACAAATTACATTTTATACACTTCGATTTTTTTTATAAAAACCAAGAAAATCCCCTAATAATTTCCCAAATAACTATCAACCAAAATAACATAATTTATATATTTCATAAATTATGCTTTCTTTGTTTTCTTTTATTTGCAACACAACCTTTGCGTACGCTTTTTAAGAAGTTGATAGAGTAGATAAATGAGTGACTATCAAAATAATTTTAACACCAAGATTAGAGAAAGGTTAGGTATACGTGTATAAATTATTTTGATTAATTTGCCTATCTATATAACTTAATCTCTTACTCAAAAAGTGTGCAATGAAGGTGTTAAAAAAAACAAAAAAAAAAAAAAAAAAAAAAAAGAAAAGAGGAAGTACATTTCATGCTTTAAAATTGGGACATTATTGTAGTTTTTTTAAGGCATGTATATTAATTACTCAATCTGTTTCAAAATAAATGTCCCACTTTGACTGGACACCTATACCAATGCAAAACTTTAATTAATCTATGATATATTTATTATATAAATTATTAAAAATATTGTAAATACTGAAATTTTATAGACGATTCTAACAAATACCTACAAAACTATATTTTTTCTTCTTAGTACTCCCTCCATTCCAGGAGTTCAATTCATATGAATACTTTTGCTTTAAATAAAAGATGAAAGAGATCGAGTGTAAGAGATTTATTTAATAAAATTGAAAACCGGATAAAAACAAGAAGTGAATAGAAATAAGGAAAACAGAGAGAGTATAAAACACTAACATAATGGATTACCCCCTCTTTCTTTGTGAACGTGTCATCACTTGCTTTAATTGATATGAACTTTTTTAGATTTTTGTAATATACTTCCTCTGTTCCACGAATGTTGCAACAAAATTCCGCATTCCAAAGCATATTTTATATGTTAAATATTTATAATTATAAAAAGTTGATATTGTGAAAGTATTTTACGAGACGAATCTAACAAGACCTCACATGACTATATTTTACATTATGTATAAATCATAATTTGTGGTCAAACAAGCATGACATGATGAATAATGCAAAAGTCCAGTTGTTGCAATATTACTAGAACGGGGGAAGTATAAAACTTTTTTAAATTGAAACGTTTGACTTTTTGCACTATTCACTTAATCTACTTTTACTAATGTTAGTGATTTATACCTAAGAAAAAGTATAATCTAGTGGGTATTTGCTTGAAATCGCCTCAATGAATAGTTTGTTAATATTCAATTATTATAATTTTACTTATTGATAATTAAAGATATTATTGAATAGAGTTTGACATTGATAAAGGTACCTAGGAAAAACGTTTCACATTAAAGGGAATATACAAATAATGCAAAAGGCCAAAAAGTCATGCACATTGGGATATTGTAGTTCTTTAGCGGGGATGGGGTGTGGGTAGGCCTGTCAATCGTCGGGTCGGGTTCGGTTTGGGTCGCTTCGGGTCACGGGGCATTTTGGGTCGGGTCATTTCGGGTCTCGAGTCGAGAAATGTTCAACCTTAACCCAAAGTTTTGGGTTCGGGTCAACCCAACAAGTTTAGAACAATTTTTTATTTGATTTTCTTTTGGCTTATTTTTAAAAATTTCTGTTTTTTCAAGCTTACTTTGCCAATTTTATTTTTTTTTTCAAATTTTAATTGAACATTTTCATCATGTTATTTTTAGCCATTACATACTACATAATTTATATCGTCACCATTTCACCAAAGCACATCAATTCCTAACTAATAAAAAATGATAATAAACTTAAAAATAAAACTTTTAAACATCCCAAAATTTAAGGAATAGACCAACATAATTATATATGTGGACTATAATATCTCTTGACATAATATCAGCAGACTTGTCAATCGGTGGTATGACAGTTATGTGGGTTATACGGATGCAATTAGTTGGGTCGATAATTGGTGTAGGAGGTGATTGGTGTGGATTTGAGTAAGAGTTATATGAGATAGATAAATGAGAAAGAGATGAAATGAATGTTCGATGGTAAACAAACAATCAAACTTAATCAATAAACTAATATTAATTTTCATATAAATTAAATGTATTTATTAAAAAAAAAAAAAAAACCCATAAATTGGGTTGACGGGTCGGGTTAGGCTTCGGGTCGAATTTTGACCCGTAAATTTACGAGTTAAGCGGGTTTGGATTAAATCGGGTTACGGGTCAAAAAACTTTGTTCAAGACCCATAAAAACGGGTCGAGTTCGCAGATCGGGTGAAAATTGACAGGTCTATGTATGACCCCTCTCTATAATGGTAAATAGAATATACGTAGTATGTGTATTCCAAATTTCAAAGTATATTATGACGTCAACTTTTATTTTACGTATGGGTAGCTAGAGGTTTTTTTTTTTTTTTTTTAATTTTTATTTTATTTTGTGTGTGTGTGTGGATAGAGTTTAAAATTGACGAACATGTTGTTATTCGTTTTTATCAGGGCCAAGAAATCAATAGCAACTATTTACAAACTCACGTAATCACAAGATTCACAACCAGTAATCTTTTAAAGTAATCGCTTATCAATTACCAATAACTAAACTTGCACGTCTTTCGGCAACTTATTAAGAAAAAATTTTTTAAAAGAAAAATACTTAATTCATTTATACAGTAGTAATATTGATGATTTTAAACTGTCAACAGACATTACTATTTTAAGAAAGATTTAAAACACTTGCCTTTTATAAAGCCACCTCTATAAATAGATAGTACTCCGTAAAAAATAAGTGGAAATTTTATGACTACTAGTCAAAATCGGATAGTTATTCGTGTGGGTCTCTTTTAATTCGGAGTTTTTACTCTTTACCCAAATTGTACGCACTCTAGTTATGTAAGTTTCCGCCATCCGCGTAGCAAACCTTATGGTGGAAGGAGTTGAATATATTGACACTAATAATATTAAAACTAGTCTTTAGGCTCGGATGATGATCCGAATTATTGCATTAACAATCCTTATTTATATTTAATTTTAGTAAAATGACATGTAATATGGTGATAATTTAGTGGCTAACATTTTAGTTTTTAAACTGAAGGTTTTGGGTTCAAATTTTGCACAATCCATATTTTTAAGCACGTGAAATTCAATTCGATTAATTGAGGAGGGCGCCACGTGACATGTAAGCTTGTTTAGAAATGCCTTTAAATATATACTCCCTCCGTTTTTAAATACTTGCTTCATTTCTCTTGGGTACGTATGTCAATACTAATCTATCCATTGAGATGATTCTAACAAATATCCACAAGACTATATATTTTTTTATGTATAAATCACAAATATTAGTCAAAGTAAGACAAATAAATAGTGCAAAAAATAGAAGTGGAACAAGTATTTAAAAATGGAGAGAGTACCTCGTAGTGTAGATTAATAAATACAATAATTTATGGTATAAATTGAATTTTATTTCATTTTTAGAACTTTGTTGGTGGGACAATGAGTTGTGTAGGAAGCATCAAGGAAGCATCTTTTCTTTTGTACTATTCTTGCAATTTTTTTGATGTTGAAATAGACCCATAATCTACACGGTTCAATTTTATGTTTTAATGATAAAACCAAGGAGGGAGTGCCTAGATCCTTCGTCTTCTTTCACAAATTTGAATTTGTCAATGGAAAAGTTAAAAAACTCTTCACATAAATTCGAAAATATATAGGTAGCTAGTGTAGGTACAATTGTACACCAATGTAAGGAAGCCAAAGTTGGAATTGATCGATAAGGTTATGGGTGTTTAGTTAGAAGAGATTTGGGGTTATATGAGAGGTATGACTACTTAAAAACTCTTATGAGAATGGTTAGTTAAGAGAAGCATTGAGAGATAATAATTAAGCTAATTTAAAAAGGCTTGTTGTAGGATTTTGTCATTCTACTTGTAACATTGATTTCCGTCCTACATATTATTATCATATCCTAATCGATCTTTTTTACCCAATGAAGTCGTAAGTAAACAACTAAGGCTTCGTTCTTTTGAGCTGAATTGTAACTTGTTGTATTCTACTAAACTCAATATAAACAACTTAAATTGAACTAAACTGAATTATTATTATTATTATTATTATTATTATTATTATTATGAAATTGTTTCAATGGTGAAGAATTTTGTAGGATCGCTAAATTTATCAATTATTTGAATACAATCAGATAACATAGATGAAAACCATACTCATAGCTACAATACATCGTTAATTTGTCTCTCCAAAAAGCCTTCATTGTCCAGCAAT